ATAGCTTGAAAGGACTCCACTCCATGGTAATAAAACTAAATTGGTCCTTTATTAAGAGAAATATGTATTTCTGAATGCTGCCACAGCTGCCAGCATTCCAGCCATGTGGTCACAGACTGAATTCCTGCTGCCTCTGCCAAACTTGTCCTTCTTGCAAACTGTGCTCCGCCCTCCAAGTTCCACGCAGATTGCTGCACTGACAAGGAAGGTGACAGTAGCTTCTGCTCCTCTCGCTCAAGGAGGTGCTTGGAAAGAACCAGGATTTGACTCTCTCTAAGGGAAAATGATGCACAGAGCAGCAGTCAGAGCATGTGTTCCAATACAGAAAATTAGCTGGTGGGATTTCAAGTCTCATTCCTAACGCTTCAGGAGCAGGTCAAGAGTCACATTGTACGTTGCAGCCTCCAGGACAGTGTAAGCCTGGTGCTAGTGAGAGTGCTGTGTGTACAGTAAATCCTGCAGTGGTGTCCCAGCGCAAACTGAGTTAGACCCAGTGTACAGACAACGGTAGATACTGGAAGATGGAGCAGACCATTAAGCATGAAAGGCTGCAGTTATCTTCAGAAAGCTGTCCACCTCCCCACCCCGACATCCCGGTACTGTGGGGTATAAAGCAACGTGCACATTCCATTCTTAGTCATGGGAAGCTTCCATGCTCCAAAGTTCATCTGCCCATTAAATTCTTCAGAGGAGGCAGGGAATGAAAAATTTGACTGTTTCCCTTAGGAAACAAAAGGTCCTTCTAAAGATCCTATTTAAAAGCAAACAACCACCCACCAAATACGTCTTGTTCCATTTCCAGCAGCAGATCCACTCGTGTCTGAATAGATTCAGGCTGTACTTAGACCTCTTTCCATGCTGGGCTGGCAAGGGCAGAAAACACAAGTGCCATGTAAATGCCTTTAGGACACAACTATTTGTGCATAATGCAAATCCATCTGTGGGTCTCATCTGCACAAGAAAGGTAGACACTGAGCGTTCCATAGTGACTACCAGGGTCCCCACCTCCACGTCTCCTAATGCCAGGCCCAAGAGTGAATTTAGTGCTGGTGCAAAGCACCAGATTTACAGCCATGGAGTATGATGTTTTCTATGGTGTAGCACAGGCAATGGTGGTGCCAGCTTCCCCCATGTGCCAGGTCTGCCGATGCTCCTTACCTATCTATATTAGGTGCTTATCTGGCCTGCTGTGGTATCTGAGAGCCTCACAACTTTTAATGTATTTACCCTCGGAACACCCCTAAGAGGTAGGGAAGTACCATTATCTCCATTGTAGAGAGGGGAAAGAAGGCACAGGGAGACTCTCGCCTGGTCTACACTACGGGATTAATTTGGATATAGCAGCGTTAATTCGAATTAACCCTTCACCCGTCCACACAACAGAGCCATTTAGTTCGAATTAAAGGGCGCTTTAAATCGATTTCTGTACTCCACCTCGACGAGCGGAGTAGCGCCAAAATCGATTTTGTTAATTCGAATTAGGGTTAGTGTGGCCGCACACCACCGAATTAATGTGGTTAAAATTAATGGGGTAGTGTGGCCGCACACCACCGAATTAATGTGGTTAAAAACCGAATTAATGTGCTTAGTGTGGCCGCGCACAATCGAATTTATACAACCTGTTTCCCAAATTCGAATTATCTAAATTCGGATTAATCCCGTAGTGTAGACATACCCTAAGTGACTTGCCCAATGTCACACAGGAAGTCTATAGCAATGCAGGGATTTAAACTCAAGTCTCCAAAGTCCTACCCTCAAGCCTTAACCACTGGACTATCCTGCCTTCCTCTGTGCTCCCTCATGCCTGGTAGGACCTGTGGCAGGGGAGGAAGGGATGTTGCTAAGACTGCCGAAAGGGACCTGTTACTGTCAATTGTGGCAAGGGGGTTTAATACTTCTGGCTGCTTCTCCTCCAGAAACTGAAGTGAGACTCACCAGCTCATTTCACATAGGTCATCAAACGGTCATCCCAGAGTAATGGCTTTTGCGCGCTATTGATCTGGATTAGATTAAAGGCGCTATACGTGTTATCAAGCCTGAGAGCCATTCTCCAGTTCCTTACATTACACCTTGACTAATGACTACTGAAAATCATCTCTCCCCTGCTGGCTATCTGTGATAGTATGCCATCCTTCCTTCTGAAATGTTACGCGTGTAGTCTGGCTTGAAGTATTCATTGTTCCCCTGAAATTCTCCAGTGAATCCCCCTGCCTTGTCACGTCTGTGTCACTTATTAACATACTCTGTTGCTTGGCTGCTTTCTCACCCAGCATGCCTCCTGCCAGCACTGTCCTGTATTTATTTTATCTCAGACCTATTGGGAATGTGACAAGTCATGTTTTTCTCTTCCTTTGCAGGAGTAAATGCCACTTATTCTGATATCGCTGTCTTGTGGTGTCCTTTCTGCCTCAATAGCCTAAGTTCAGTTACAGGGCATGCTAGAAAGCCCCATGACAGCCATTCTGATGCTACTCTCCAACCTTCCTGTCAGAGCCACACAGGGATTATCATACAGAATCAGACTAGTGAATTGAGTAGTCCAGGATCCTGTCTCTAACAGTGGCCAGTGCCAGCTGCTTAAGAGGCAGATGCAAGAAACCCCACCGCAGATAATTATGGAATAACTTTCCCCAAAGGAAAGTTTCTTCCTGACCCCCATCGGTTAGTGGCTGGCTTATGTATTGAAACATGAGGGTTTATTTTCCTTCTAAAAAAATAAATTACCCTATTCAATGTAAATGTGGAAGTTTGCATTAGCTGTATAAATGTGCAATCCCTATTTTGAATCCTCTCTGCCTCCAAAATATTGGGTGGCAAGGCGTTCCACAGGTTCGTTATATTGTGTAAACGGGTATCTCCTTGTATCAGTTTTGAAATCGTTGCCTTTGAATGTTCTTGACCATCCCCTTGTATTGTGAGGCAGTAAATAAGAGTGCCTGATTTATCTTCTCTAGCCCATTCCTATTTTTTTCGATGTGACCATCAAGTTTCATGTCATAGTGCCAGCTAGAACACAGAGATTCTGCCAGGGCCAAAGGGAATGCTGCTGACATTTCACTGACATACATTTGTTGCTCTGACTTGTCTTCCACTACCACCTGTTATGGGGTCTTTGGGTGCTCTGCTATTACAGCTGCCTGGCCTCGGGTGCAATCTGCAGACACGTACTTTTCGGCCATTGTGCAAAGATGCAGATTTACTTTTTTCCCCTGCCGACAGGTTGCGAATCAATTCAGGGTCCGAGTGACAAATGAAGATTAGGGCTGTACAAAATGGAAGGTCCCATGATCTCTGGCCCCCGCAAAGCTCACAGTAGAATAGCTTGCTCCTGCAATGTGCTGAATGGCAGAAGTGGGAGTTGGGAGCAATCAGCATGTCCCAGCAGGCACTCGCTTCTTCGGGATCAGTCCTCAAGTGCCAAATTCTGCCTGTTCTTATGTGGGTACACTGAGGAAGGTGGGAGACACTGGGAACCAGCATTGGCCTGGAGCAGTGAACCGCGGCCACTGGGAGCCGCGATCGGCTGGACCTGCGGACGCAGCAGGTAAACAAACCGGCCCGGCCTGCCAGGGGCTTTCCCTACACAAGTGGTGTCCCAAGTTTGCGAAACACTGTTCTAGACCTTTAATCATTTTTGTTGCTCTTCTCTGGACTTTCTCCAATTTGTCCACATCTTTCCTGAAACGTGGCGCCCAGAAGCGGACACAATACTCCAGTTGAGGCCTAATCAGCACAGAGTAGAGCAGAAGAATTACTTCTCATGTCTTGCTTACAACACTCGTGCTAATACATCCCAGAATGATGTTCGCTTTTTTTGCAACAGTGTTACACTGTTGACTCATACTTAGCTTGTGATCTACTATGATCCCCAGATCCCTTTCCGCAGTACTCCTTCCTAGGTCGTCATTTCCCATTTTGTACCTGTGCAACTGACTGTTCCTTCCTAAGTGGAGTACGTTGCATTTGTCCTTATTGAATTTCATCCTATTTACTTCAGACCACTTCTCCAGTTTGTCCAGATCATTTTGTTCATTTTGTTTTCAAGCAGAATATTAACTCACAGGGGGTAGAGGGAGGATCCAGTTGTCTGAATGGGGCTGAGTGCAAATAACCAAGGCAAGCCCACGATGCCCAGAATGCAAAGGAAGGAGAGACGCCTACTTCAGTTGTAGGAAGTGTGCAGGGAGAGAGAGTTGCCGGCTGCCAGTTACCTCCCCAGCAGTCACTTTCACTGAGCGGTTCTCTCAATCAGGCTAATTAAGATCGGAGCCCAGCTGCCTGTGTGTGAGTAAACCGAGCCTTCAGCCTGGCGTGAAGGGCCCTCAGCCTAAAGAGCCCTGCCGCTTGTCACGCACCAGCAAGCTCTGAAGTGACAGTGGCAGCTGTGGTACAGGGAGGGAGCCAAGAACCCAGCTGGGCTAAGCAGGTGCCGCTTCACCGCTTTCAACCCATTTGAAATGTGGGAGACGAGGGTCTTGGCCCCTTGCAGGATCAGACCCTCTGATTACAACTGTCTGCAGCTCTCTAGGTCCCAGTACGGGCTTTATCCCTCTTCCATCCCCCTCTAGTAAGGCCATTATCCTGTAAAGGAATTTCAGTCTCATGACTCCACTGCAGGACGGAGCAGGACAGGAGATTGGGCCCAGATGAGGGAAAATCTTTTATTTCAGTGTGTTTGTACTGAAACGAACAATCAGAAATTAATCCGGGGCTGTGCCCAGCTCTGTCACAGCTTCCTTGCGCTCTGACCGGCTATTTCAGACCTCTCCCATCTCTTTATGGCCGCCACAGACATGGCTGATTCAGCTGCTTTGCTTTACTCCCAATTACAAAATGCAAACATTAGTTTCACTCCCATCATGTCCCCTCCCAGTATATTTCATCATTAGACAATTTATCCTAAGAGTCATCATTAAGACTTGAGGGTACTTCCTTTGACTCAGTAGTAATCGTATCCCATGCTAATAAACTCCCCACTCTCCTTATTACCATTGAAACAGGAAACACCCTCCACTCACCATCTCCATATCCTTATAACTGGCTATTGAAGAGAAGAACATCATGTAACCAAACTGATGGATGGGTAGAAGATGGATAGACTACCATAGACTGGCTCTCTCCTGCCCCAGAACACTGTACCTGGTTAGTTTACTACTAACTCTCACTCAGTTCCTTTTCAAAGTCAATCGCTTGGTCCTGTCATGCCCACTCTCCCAGCCCATGGAGATTTGTTAGGGGTGTTTCCCCCACCCCCACAGTTTACCTATTGCAGGTATTAGCATGGCTCAGGTGGGCCCAGGCCTGCCCCTCAACCAGAGGGGAGGAACTGCTGAGCCCAGGTCATAACTGAGTTTGGGGGACAACAAATAAGAAAACAGGGATGGGAGTGAAGTTCCTAAGGCCAAAATGAGGGATCCAGAGGGGCACTCTCAGCAAAGAACCCCAGACAGCACCCACTTTTCAAAGGAGTCCAAGGAGCCCATGGACACCGCCTAGGGGAACTCTGCCCAGATGCGTGAAGTGATAAGGGACTGGAATTTTACTGCCAACATTTTGAGCCAAATCTTGATTCCATCAAAGTCAATGATCAAACTCCCACTGGGACAGGGTCTGGCCTTTATTTTAGTATTTATCAACCAGTATCTGCAAAGTGTTTAGGATGGTGCAGATCTGTGAAAATATTCCTCCATCCAGGGTAGATTATTATGAAGCAATGGGACAGTTCTTAAAGGGACCCTGCCATATATTTTTGCTGAATGTTTTTAACATCTTCATTTTTTTACTCTCAGATTTTAATATTATATTAACTACATCTTACATTTATAGGACACCTTTTATCCCAGCATTTTACAAAGCATTTGATCAGACAGATGTTAAAAAAAAAATCACTTCATTCACCACTGAAGTTTAGTAGCAGCGATAGCCTACCAGCACATGGCAAGCCTACACAGCAGTTTAGGACGGGAAGTGAAGAAGAATGCTGTGTTCAACTGAAACAGCTGGAGCTATTTAAAGATCAGAATGTAAAGACCCAAAGTAGATTTTGGTCAGAAGTTTGGGGCTAATGCTCTTACTCTGAAAAAGTATCACAGGATCTTCGATAACCACTGGAGGCACTGTTTTACTTCTCATTGCAAAGACAACACCACTGTCCGCACCGCTCCTCCTAACACTGTGCAGAAAGTTGGCTCAATAGTGATTCTTTGGGAAGAGCTCCACCTTTTGATTCCACAACCCCTCTTCCTGCTATTCCCTTGGAGGTCACCCATGCAGGTGCTAACATAACTTGGCTTTGTGTATCTGGGGAGAGCTGATAGGACCAGCGCCGGAGATAGCAGTGTTGTGGTCTGTGAAGAGCTCAGTTTGAGCCCCTACAGGCAGCCGTGAGCATGCAGCAAAAATTCCAAAGTTCACTCCAAGTTCAGACGAGGGAGACATGAGCCAGTTCAAGTAAGATAAGAGCAGACCTTCATCTAAACCTCAACTCAGACCAAACCTTCTGGGAGCTGGACAGGATTTAGCTGCTTTTTGTATTTAGTTTCATTGGTGTCCATCCGGTGGGTACAGCTGAGGTGAGAAGAGGAAATGCTGGAATACCAGGACAAACGTTCTTGGTATTTCTGACGGTCACAGGGCTGCTGCCTCCAGAGCGCCCATTCATGGACCCTGCAGCATCCCTGCCTCAATTTCCATTTTTTTAGGGCTCCTCGATAAATTCCACCCAGGCCAATAATACCCCGGTTTATTAACATAGATCGTTCCAAATAAAGTCCTCAAAGTCCAAATGGAAGTTCATACATTCTTCCTTCCCCACTTTTCATCAAGCCCCTCAGTCTTTCTACCTATTCTCTTTCAAGCCTCTCCCAGCCCCTCCTGCCTAGAGTCTTTCCCTGCTTTGGCAAGCCACTCCCAGCCCTATCTAGAGGGAGTCTTTTCTCCCCTGGTGTCTCAAGGTCTCCTACAGGAGCCTTCCTGCTCTCTGAAGGCCTCTATCTCACTACCCAGGCCTCTCCCTTATCTAACCTGAAAGCCTGATTGATTCACATGACATTCTTTATTTTCCCCACCAGGGGAGTGAGTTGGCTGTACTACAGGTGAGGCTGAGACCTCTCTCCCTTTAGAGGGCCAGTCACCCTGGGCTACTGAGTGGCTTGCAGAGACTCTGCTCCTCTGAGAGTGATTTCAGGGTCACAGTGGTCCTGATGAGCAGCATCTAAATTCTTGAAAGCTGAATCTCTGACCTTGTCCATCGATTGTTAAGGCTTTTATGTTTCAGCTATCGACAGTATCTATCTGGTCCCCATCTGAGCATCTCATACTGTTTAATTACAACACCCCTAGGAGGTAGGGAAGTGCTATTGTCGCCATTTTACACATGGTAAACTGAGGCACAGAGAGATTAAGTGACTTGCCTAAGGTCCCACAGGCAGTCTGTGACATAAGAAGGAACTGAAGCCAGGTCTCTGTAGTCCCAGACTGACATCTGTCCTTCCTCTCTGACTCCTGAGTAGTTGATGCACATGCAGTAGTTTGTCCTGTAGAACACAGCTCAGCTTGTTAGCCTTCTTATACTGAACAGAAGATTCACAAGTAAAGTATAAGCAAAAATAACCTGACTGCGACTCTCCCTGTACACGATACACCAATGGCAATTTAGCTATAACTTCTGTCCACACAAGGCCCCTCCCCACAAGTACCTTGGTAGGCAATAAATAATGGCTTCAGGTCAGATGCAAAGTATCAATAAATCTGCCAGTGCTTTGGTAGGGAATTCTGAGGATGTTCTTTTTGCATACACATCAAGTCATTGTAGCATGGACTGGTGAATATATTGCAGCTATTCATTTCCAGAGCTGAAGCTTTCTCATCATTTATCTTAATGTCCAAGCTAGGCAGGAATTGACTAGATTGTATGGGAGGCAAATGCATAGCCTTCTCACTGGAAATTTAAAATGTCTATTGAGTATTTATTCTGCCCTTCTAATGGCTCAAGACAATGTTATTTTCAAACTTCTGAGAGGATTGCATGGCAGACAGCACCTCATGCTGTGATCCCATCAGATCACATGAGCTAAATGGAGATGAACCCCGTCAGTATATCGACCAGGTCGGAGGTTCTAAACCTTTCTTCTTAGGGTATGTCTACACTACGAGGGTAATTCGATTTTACTTAAATCGAATATGTGGAATCGATATTGCAAAGTCGAACGTGTGTGTCCACACTAAGGACACACTAAGGACAGTAATTCGACTTTGTGAGTCCACACTAACGGGGCGAGCGTCGATATTGGAAGCGGTGCACTGTGGGCAGCTATCCCACAGTTCCCGCAGTCCCCGCTGCCCATCGGAATTCTGGGTCGAGCCGCCAATGCCTTCTGGGTAAAAAAAATTTGTCGTCATCCGTCTGTCACTAACGCCCTCCCTCCCTCCATGAAAGCGCCGGCGGGAAATCAGTTCGCGCACTTTTCTGGTCAGTGACAGCGCGGACGCCACAGCACTGCGATCATGGATCACGCTGCGACCATCGCTGCACTTGTGGCCGTTCTCAACACCTCGCAGCTTATCATACACCTTTCCCTGAGGCAGATGCAGAGAAATCGGGCGAGGAGGCTACGGCACCGCCGTGAGAGCCTGAAGTCGGAGAGTGGCACAGAGCTGTCAGAAACCACGAGCCCCAGCGCCCAGGACATCACGGTGGCAATGGGGCATGTGGATTTTGTTGAACGGCGATTCTGGGCCCGGGAAACAAGCACGGACTGGTGGGACCGTATAGTGCTTCAGGTCTGGGATGAATCCCAGTGGCTGCGAAACTTTCGCATGCGGAAGGGGACTTTCCTCGAACTTTGTGAGTTGCTGTCCCCTGCCCTGAAGCGCAAGGACACCCGCATGCGAGCAGCCCTCACTGTCCAGAAGCGAGTGGCCATAGCCCTCTGGAAGCTTGCAACGCCGGACAGCTACCGGTCAGTCGCGAACCACTTTGGTGTGGGCAAATCTACCGTGGGGGTTGTTGTCATGCAAGTAGCCAAGGCAATCGTGAAGGTACTGCTCCCAAAGGTAGTGACCCTGGGAAACGCGCAGGTCATCATAGATGGCTTTGCCGTGATGGGATTCCCAAACTGCGGTGGGGCTATCGATGGGACTCACATCCCTATCCTGGGACCGGACCACCAGGCCAGCCAGTACATCAATAGAAAGGGCTACTTTTCAATGGTGCTGCAAGCACTGGTGGACCATCGGGGACGGTTTACAAACATCTACGTCGGATGGCCGGGCAAGGTTCATGACGCTCGCGTGTTCAGGAACTCTGGTCTGTTTAGACGGCTGCAGGAAGGTATTTACTTCCCAGACCACAAAATAACTCTTGGGGATGTGGAGATGCCTACAGTCATCCTCGGGGACCCAGCCTACCCGCTAATGCCCTGGCTCATGAAGCCCTATACTGGCGCCCTGGACACAGAAAAAGAACTGTTCAACTACCGGCTGAGCAAGTGCAGAATGGTGGTGGAGTGTGCTTTTGGCCGTCTCAAAGGGAGATGGAGAAGCTTACTGACTCGCTGTGATCTCAGTGAAACCAATATCCCCATCGTTATTGCAGCTTGCTGTGTGCTCCACAATCTGTGTGAGAGCAAGGGGGAGACCTTTATGGCGGGGTGGGAGGTTGAGGCAAATAGCCTGGCTGCTGATTACGTCCAGCCAGACAGCCGGGCCATTAGAAGATCCCAGCGGCACGCCCTGTGCATCCGGGAGGCTTTGAAAGCTAGGTTCCTGAGTGAGCAGGGCAACCAGTGACTTTTCAGTTTGTGGACAGAAAAGCTGAACCTGCCCCCGTTTCTTTACCCAGTTCATTTTGACTATCCTCTCCAGTTACATACCCCCTTCACCCCCTTCCCCTTCCCAAAAAATAAAATCATTTCGATTTTGTTAATGAACACCGTTGTCTGTGTTGCTGTTTTCGCGGGAATATTTTAAACCGGGGACGCAGACTGTGGCGGGGGGCGGGTTCAGTGTTCTGATGCAAATGATGCTTCTAAACTCCCGGAATGCCAGGCTCCGCACTGGAGGACTGGTTATTTCAATGGAGAACATGAAAAACACCTCCCAGACTGACCAGGGTAACCAGTGACTGCACTGTGTATGTGTCC